GGTAAATACTAAAGCTGAGGCTGTGGCGACCTCGTGTGGAGGCTCATCTCCAACATCAAACCTCTTTGATCAGATGTCCGACGGTCCGTGAACGCAGCACGGCCGGGGTTGTGTAATGTGGTTGAAGCAGGTCTGAATGGAGGACATCAGGAGGTGACGGACAGGTACGGTGTTTCTGCTGAACAGGTGTTTATTAACACGTTATTGTGACGGGATTAATCCCGTTTTTATGTAACACAGATTAGATTTGTTGTGTTTAATCTGCTTCTTCAACCGTTAGAGGAAAGAACCCGTTTTTATTGAGACACCGACTGTCAGGACAGGAAACCATTTGTTTTTTTTAAATAATGTAAATTAATTCAGGAAACCGGCAGGATCAAAGTGTTTATTTTATTTCTTTGTTTTAAACCTGTTTAACGGTTCAGCTCAACTTCTTCCTGTTTTCTGATAAACCAGGAAGGTCACTTCCTTCTTATCTGTAAACTTTCAGATATCAGATCTTTTTATTTCATGCTTGGCCAGAGTTCTCTTTAAAATACAGATTTTTAATCTCAGTGAGATTTACCTGCTGAAATAAAGCCTGTTCAGTTTTTACCAGCTGACAGGTTTACAGTTCAGAGCTCTTTGAACTCCACAGGAGCTGACTGGAGAGCAGGTACAGGTGGGACAGGTGTTACAGGTGGGACAGGTGTTACAGGTGTTTCTGGTTGTGGATGCCAGGAACCATTGGGTTCTTTCAGAGATCCAGGGCCCTCCTGAGAGTCTCAGGAACTAAGACCAGACCAGAACCTTTGGGTCAGCCTCTGTCGGTTCCTGAGTTTCTGAAGGTGATCTGTGTGTTTTCACAGGCGTCAGCAGAGATGGAGCTCAGTGTGGTCACAGTGGTGCTGCTAACAGGAGGGGTGCTGCTTCTCCCCGTGCTCGCCTTCTTCACCACCCTGCTGCTCCGACCCGGAGCCATCCTGAAGGCCTACAACTGGTAAAGAGCCCGTTAACTGGAGCAGAGCACAGGCACAGTTTGGCTCACGTGTCTGTAAATCATTTTTCATCACAAGGTTTAAAAAATGTTTCAGTTCAGCTTTGAGGAGGTCTTTCAGACGTTTTCTTTGGACGCTTTGTTTAATAATCTGTAGAAATTAAGATTAAAGGTTGAACGTAGTAAATCTCAAAAAACTCCAGCTGATAAAACAGTTAAAGTCCAACCCATCCAGAGTCTGGTCTCGGGGTCTTCTACAGGGTCTCCTCTGAGTTGGACCGGTCCAGAACTCCTGCCTAAGGAGGAGTCCAGGGATCAACTGGTTCCTCTCCTTTGGACTGGATCTGAGTTCTGGTTCTTTCAGTCCAGAGTTCCTGATCGCAGGTGAAGGGAGGAACGTAGACGAATGAAAAATAGTTCAGAAGGTGAAAAGTGAAACCTGTCAAAATAAAAGCCTTGAACAGTTCCAGCCTGTATCTGTGACGTCTCACCGTCTCTGCTGGACTTTGAGTTTGCTAAAACGGTGCTTTATTGTTGCTCACACGGTGACTCAGCACTCTCCTGTAAGAGCTGATCTTTTAGCAGCTGCATGAATAAAATATTAAACATTAAATAAACAGAAGCTCTGGATGAGTTTGGGTTAAAGCAGTGGCGTCACTAGGCCTATTTTAGGGGGGCTGGAGCACCCTTAATATATTTTAAAGCCCCCCTAAATTATTTTGGTGCAAAAAAATATTTAATTTTTTTTACAAAAATTCAATATGATGTGGTCAGAATAAATAACCATTTAATATTTCATTATTAACTAAAATATATGATCATAAATCTGTCAGTTTCCCTTTAATTAATAATGTAAGGTAGAGATCCTCTTTGGTGCGTTGTTATCCAGTCCATTCCACTTGTTCATACAGAGTACTCCCACACTACATGAAATCCAGTCCACGTTTTTCCTGCAACCTTAATAGCAACATGCTAGCAGGTTTACACACAGAGCCAGCTCAGTGCAGGAGAACGCTCAGTGAAAACTGGATATACGAAAGTTTTTCAAGAAAGTATTAATCATCACTGCTGGTAGTAACCATAAACATAAAGAGTAGAAAGGCGGACTGCTAATGCTGTTGTCGCGCCGCGGGCCGCCATCTTCAAAAGTCATTTGCTCAATGAAGTATCAGCCTGTTTAATCAATCATAACTCGCTGAAAACTAAACTGTTTTACACACTTTTTTTTTTTTTGCTGGAAACCCTAAACCTACAGCTAAAGTCTAAAGCAAGGGTCACCAGTGCTGAGGAGAAAGGACCAAATGAGTAGAGGCACGGTATAAAAGTAGTGCCGGTATTCACAGATCTACCTAAAATAGTTTTAATGTTCAGTTTTGGGGTATTTTTGAATTGATGTTAAAATATTATTTGGCCTTGAATGATTTAAAAATAACTATGGAAAAAAATAACAATCTGAAAGTGTAGGTATTGATCTCTAAATGTAGGTATTG